TACACTGATAGTTCTTTACAACCTACAATTAGGTATCAAGTTTGGTATAAATATAAGCCACATGTGTAAAGTTATTCAACAAAAACCGCTCAATTTTGACCAAACTTTTTTGCGCGCTCCTACGCAAAAAGTGACGTGAGATATCGGTCTAATATTTTCACTACAGCTTCGCCTAAGAGTAAAAGTGGACTGTTTTTAGTTTTTGTGATTCGAATTAAAGACGGCTGGTTTAGGAAGTGCATATGCATAACTATTGGTTAGGCCAATGAAATTAGATTAGCAGTTTCTAGCTCAAGTTTTCAAGAGAATCATACGGGTAGACGGTTATTATTGATTATTCATTTCCAGCTTTTAAGCACAAATTTACTAACTTTTATGAAATTCCTCTAATTAAAGAGCGTTTAGCGTCACGCGAATTTAGTTTAAGCAATTAACATAAATAATGATGCTTGATATGACTGTACCGAATGCATGCGGGTGATGACAAGAAACTGTTAATCTAGATTCCATGGCGTTACTATAAAGGAAGTTATTAACACTGTTTTAAAGAGGAAAACTATCATAATATATTTTAAAAAATCTGTTTGGTTCTGTAAAGTATAGGTCTGTTTCGAATAATAGGGTTGCGATCCTAAGGCTAATGTTGGTTACTATCGAGTGTTAATTTCTTACTTGCTGTGGTTTGTTGGTGTGTATTGACAAAAAGTCATGATATCTAATCAAAAACACAAAAAGATGCGGCCAAGAAAGGACAGAGCGTGCGACTTAAAGGAATGAATCAAAAATTGGTGGCCAAACTGGTAGCTACATTTATAGCAGTGATAAGAATTTTACAGCATATATTCATTCATTAGTTAGTTAGTTAGGCCGCGTATTTTGTTTTACCCACCATCATACCCCAAGTTAAAAAACAAAACAAATGCAGACTGGCTAACTAATGAATAGTTACCAGTTTGACCGCACCTTTTTTTCACACCTAAGGTGTTTTTGATTAGATCTGTTTTAGTATGAATTGTAGTAGATAATACTAGGTCGTTAATTTATTTGAATTGTACTAGTTTGTGTTACTCAGCATAGGTGATTCATAACGCCGAATAGGTTGACCTGTAGTTATAGCTCCTGATGCATGGTTTACAACTACACTAACCCAATGCAGTGTGACTTGATAAACCTAATATATGGTTGCTGGCTAACTTAGCTTGTCCTTATCTGAATCGAAGTCCTTGATGTGAGGCCTCACTCAGTTTGTGATGATGTATATATCATATATGTTTCCAGTTCTAATAATAATCCTGGTTCTAATTGAAGTATCCAATACATGGATGCCGACTTACTCTGTCCTGTGTTAGTTTGCGTGGAGTTAGCTGATATACGGTCATCGCGTAATTTGTTCCGTCTTAATGGAAATTGAAGTACGTTATTTTAAGTCGGATTCCTTTCTAATCGGCGAAAGGCTTAAAATAAAGTAATTTTTATTGTAATTATCTTATTATTTTGCACATTTCCTAGTTGTTACGTATTTTATCAATTTACTGCTTGTTATGTTTTTCAACTTATTGTATTTTTCGGTAATATTTTGATTTTGACAAATAACTTTTTTGTGTACTTACAATAGCGTTTTGTAAGAAAGTTGACAAAAATGTAAAAGCTTAATAAATAACGTGAATGCTGTATTTATGTGTAAAGTACAGTTTACAGTGAAGTATAGTTTACAGTGAAATACAGTTTACAGTACAGTATAGTTTATAGTAAAGTACAGTTTACAATAAAGTACAGTTTACAGTGAAAAGTATCAACAGTTCAGTTTCTTTCTGTGTGTCAGATGTCTACGTATCATGTCGTCAGTTTTAAGATATTGTGCTGTGGTATTTAGACTTCTTCTACATACAAACTTTATTATAATAATACTCATAGTGCATGAATACCACGAGATGTGTGGGTAATAGTGTGTCACCAGCAAACATGTTATATTTTCAACAAATAAAGAGTTTTATTAAAGTACCTTCCGATTGTATATTATCACAATAAATATGTAGCCTTTACCATAAACACAATGTCTTGCTAGAATATTTTTTAAATTAATGTGGTAAAGACTAGTCCAGCAGTTGGTATTGACTAGCTGCCTTCCCTCTAGTCTACCTATTGAAAATTAAAGACGTCTAGCGCAGATAGCTCTCGAGTAGCTTTACCCGAAGCTAAGAAAAACAACAAACATTTTAATAGCACCAAGACGACTGTAACGTTTTCCACTAACAGAGGGTTTTGTTAAAGGACCTATTAATAGCCTGACACCAAGGCACGTGTAACATTTACCAGAAACACGGAGTGTTATTAAGGAGCTTTACTTTTATCGAGTAGATTGCTTTCATTTGATAATAGCAATAACAAATTTCCTGCAATATTTTGAGAAATATTATGTTACATCTCTACGTCTTGTGTCGTGTACAACGTGTGGAAGATGTCGAAGTGTTACGAGTACGTTATTTAAACTTAAGAATCACTCCTACCAACTGATCAGAGGATCGATCATTTACGGCTCTGTATTTAAATGATCCTTAACGTTCACTAAACATATTGAACAAGAAATATCAAATCAATATAGATAACCTTCTTAAACATTAAAAAAAAAACACTGATGTGGAAAAAATTAGAAGAATATACAACAACCATATAGTGAGAGAAGAAGAAAATGCTGATATACAGATGTCATTGAAAGAGAAACTAACCACATAAAGG